GTGCCAGTCCAGCCACGAAGCTGGTCTTTCCCCCCCTCACAGTCTCAGCAGGTCACACCGTCTCAGGCTTGTCTCCTCTCAGTCCTTGTTCCCACTCCCCGCACCCCAGGCCCCGGATGCCTTTTGTCTACGCAGGTTCCTTCAGGTGCCCACACAGCTGAGCGAAAGGTAATCAGATCAGGACAAGGAAACGTGCAAACCACAAGCTTGGGTAGTTGGCTCTTTTCACGGTTTGCGTGTACGTGGCTGTGATGTTTATCACATGTGCTTCCTGCTGTATTTTTTCCTGATTTCCCAGGACAGGAGTCACTGTATCAAAGGACCCTGGTGTCCTACCCAGGGCTCCATGGCCTCATGGGTCTCTCTCTGTTGCAGGAACATCCTTGAGAGCCGTTGTTTTAAAAGAAGGAGGTGGGCTTTGGGGCCAAGTCCCAGCCTTGTCGTTTAGTGGCTGTGTGATCCTGGACAGGCTTCCGTACCTCTCTGGGCCTCATTTATAAAATAGGAATGAGCCCTGACCGGTTTGGCTCAGTGGATAGAGTGTCGGCCTTCGGACTGAAGGGTCCTGGGTTCGATTCCGGTCAAGGGCATGTACCTTGGTTGCGGGCACATCCCCAGCGGGGGGTGTGCAGGAGGCAGCTGATCGATGTTTCTTTCTCATTGATGTTTCTAACTTTCTATCCCTCTCCCTTCCTCTCTGTAAAAAATCAATAAAATATATTTAAAAAAAAATAGGAATGACATCATCTACCTCGCAGGGTCCCTGGGAGGGTTAAAGGAGGTAACTATAAAATTACCCGGGAAACACACCGATTATAATAAGCGTAGCTGTATGACCACTTCTTCACGCGGCTGTGCCCCTGTATCTGAGCTCCTTTGTGCTAGCCAGGCCCTGTGCTAGATGGCGGGGGACACAGTGCTAGAGTCAGGCCGGGCACTCTGAGGCGCGATTGCAAGTGTGGGGGGTTATTTCACTGGCGGGCAGGGATCATGTCTGATTCCGCCACGCCTGCTGCCCATCAGGAGCCTGGCAGGACCAGCCGGACTCTTTGGTGGGCAAACACTCCCGGCCATCCCGGCCCAGTCTGTCCTTTGTGACTTCTGGCCGTTGCCCCCAAATAGAATAAAACACACAAGGAAAGCAATGCGCCACCTGAAGCCATCCGATCTGTCACCGCCGCCCACTTGAAGGCCATCTCGAAAAGGGGCGTCGGCGAGCGGCAGGGACAGCTGTGCGTGGGTGGGAGGGGGCACTTCACACTTGCCCGCTGTTGAACGCCATCTGTGTACGCCCTTAGTGGAATTTTCTGGAATAGCACAAAGCAGAAATCTGAGCGAGGTGGCCTGGGTGGCCGGAGAGGGGCGCGCGGGGCAGCCTGGTGGACACCCAGGAGGAGGAACCCTCCTGGGTCCAGGCTCAGGAAGAGCAGGCCCTTTCGGAGACCCTGGAGGGGCAACTCCGAATAAGCCAGGTACTCAATACTTCCTGGCCGACGCCCCCTCTTCAGCAGCCTCTCCGAGGAGCTATTTGCAGAGGCCCCCACTTGGAGTCCCAGCTCTGCACACAAGTGTTTGGTGTTTAAAAAGAGAGAAAGAGAAGTCACAGCAGGTGCCGGCCCGCCCTGCCCCGCCCCACGAGGGCTGCCGGGGGTCTTTGTGCTGTGTGCCCGCCAGTCCACGTCATCCCCACATCTGCTGTCCTTGTCCCGTGACAAGAGCGACTGAAGCTGCACAATGACGCCATCTGCCAGGGACAGCCAGCTGGCTCTCAAGGCTGACCCTGGTTGCCATGGCAACCGAGATGGTGTCCTGGGGCTTTCAGACAAAATGACCAGCCTAATGATGTCAGGAGGTTCCCTGCAGCACGGCTCACAGGGGGGTGGAGGGGGGGCTGGTGCCGGAGTCCTGGAGGCGGGGTGGGGGGGGCGCCTCTGGGTAATGAAGGACAGGCTCCTCCCCTGCGCCCTCTGGGCTCCCCCCCGTCCCCCCATGGAAGAAGGCTACTTGGCCTCCACAGGACGCGCTATGCGGGGCACCTATGTACGCACTCTGCTTAAAGCCTCTCTCCTTCCCTCAGCCTGGAACGCATCCCTCACCCTTCCATCCCATCTCCGGGTTTCCTTCTCAGAACCTTCCCAGCCACGGGGCCTGTGCCCACCTCTGTCCCCACCGCGCCTGGGGCCCACCAGCCGGGGAGCAGCCCGAGGGCCGAGGTGATGTCTCATTCATCTGTCTGGTTGCCCGGCATGTGGGAAACTCTAGCAAATGTTCAGCGAACAAATGAAGCAGCTTCATTTCTCAGCCACTCGCCAAGGGCCTCAGCGGTCCGGCCTCACAGGAGCAAACAGGAGGGGGATGAAGCCCTACAGCCAGGTGTGGGCACGGGGTTTCCCTGCCACTGTCAAGGCCGCAGGCCACACCTGCAGAGGCACCGACTGGCACCCTGGTTTCTATCTTTTTCCGAATCAGCGCCAAGATCCCGGAGGGGCCGCTCCGCGAGGCCGCGGGTGAAATCACTTGTTCACACATCCCGACTTGGGTCAAAGCGTTTGCGCATCTCCCTCCGCAGTGGCTGGCCCGGGGCCCGTGCCCCGGTCTCCCCCACTCACTGCACAGCCTCCCCATCTCCTCGGGGGCACGTCCTTCCCATCTGCCTGTCTGACAGGACCGAACCGGACTTGCTGCTTCGAGTCTCAGTCCTCCGCTTTCTAGTGAGCCTGGGCCTCGCTCCACTGCCGGTGTGGTCTCTTCTGTGAACGCCTGTCCTCACCCATTTTTCTTTGGATCATTTAATTTTCTCTTACTGATTTGTAGGGATTCTTTATATGTCCATGCTTAAGCATAGTCCTCCCTTGTATGTGCGGCAAATGCCTTTTCCCTGTCTGGGTCTGCTGTTTTAACTATGGCAGGTGCCCTTTGTGGACTAGAAGTTCAAGTTGTTTATGGAGTCGGGGAACAGAAAGGGCTGTTCTGAGGCTCATAGAAACCCAGACGTCTGGCAGCCTCGTATCCACATGGCTTTCTAGACCTGCAAAGGGCGTGAGTCCCACGTGGCCCTGGGAGAGATGGGGGTGTTATTCCTATTTTGTAGGTTGGGAGAGGAGGGCCTTTTTGCCTCCTGGCACCCGCTCCTCCCTCCCGGGGACTGGCCCCAGATCTTCCCCTTGCAGTCTTTGTCCCTGGGGTCTGGGTGGGGCTGGCCAGCTGCAGGCACCATTCATTATCCAGGCCACAAGGGTGACACGGGCCCTGAGCCAAGCCAATGACAGCGTTACCCTACCCTACCCAGGACTCGGGGCGGAGTCACTGAGAACGAGGCATTTCCTACTGGTAAATTCTGTTTGAAAACGAAGCCGGTGCAGAGGAACAGGGGTTGAAGGAAGGCCTATTGTTGACCTTGTTTATGCCTGGATGCAGCCATGCCTGAGGCCTACCGACCCCCTCAAACCAGCTCGCTGTGGGGTCCTGTCTCTTCTGTAGCTGAGTCAGAGCCAGAAATGCAAGTGCCAGGACCGGACCCCTAACCCTGACTCCTTAATCAAAGTATGCAGAGGAGCAGAAGCAGCATAAGGGCCTCCAGGCCTCAGTTTCCCAATCTGTGAGGTAGGGATGATCCCCCATCTGTTCACGTCAGCCGGCTCTGGCACCAAACACCTCAGGCCTCTTGGCGGAAGCAGGGCACCGTGACCCGCTGCTTCCCCCGAGGACGTGGGGAACGAGAGCCCAGGAAACCGCATACTCGGCAATGAGGCTCAGAGAAGAATGACATCAGCTTGAAGCTGTCTCCATTGGCAGAGACAATGGCAAAGAAGAAAAAAAAGGGACAGGCAGGAAGGAAAGAAAAACCCTGATGATATCAGCAGCTCTAGTTGGAAAACAGACGTAGGAAAGAAAACGAGTTAAGCCTTCACTGCAAAATGCACACAGAAAAGGATAAACCGTGCTCACAATAACACCCATAAAAGTGAAAAACTGGAGGCAGCCACGAACATCGAATCGAGCCACACAAAGATCTGCTTAAGCCAGTGGTTCTCAACCTTGGCTGCACATTAGAATCACCTGGGAATCTTTTTAAAATCCTGATTTCTGGGCCTCATCCTC